CCTTGGAAGACAGTTTTTTATTGTTCCAGTGTGTGCAAGAGAGATAATAGTCAGTTCCAGGCATCGTCCAGTGTACTGTTTTGCTTAGTCCTCCTGAACTTCCTCACCTCATCCCTGGAGTATACATTGGTTAGCACTTCTAAGAATTTATTGTCCTTATCTCAGAAATCTGTTTATCTCTCCCGAAATCCCTGCCTGTACTGACCCTAAAGCTGCCTAATTAACCTTAACTTGCTCTGGGACTCATCCCCCGCCTTCTACAGATGGAGCCCCTAACTGCTGTTAGGACAAACAAAAGGCATTGATCTGCTTCCTGCTGAAAATGGGCAACATGGAAGAAGTCAGGGCTCCACCACAGGGCGAAGATCTAAGGGATCTCAGAAGGACAGTGGAAGCGTCATATTCGGCTCCATCTGAAGGACCATTTGAAGCTGGCTGGCCTTTAGGTGAGAGGGGATGATTGTGGCGAGGGCGTTGAGGATACAAGGCCAGAACAAGAGAATAATAAAAGAAATTAGTGAGGGAACAACCAGGACAGAAGTTGGTTTCCTATAGTAGCGAAGATTGTTTATAACCAGCTAGGCCCTTGTCCTGCCTGTCTTTTAAGGTCATCTATAATACAGGTATTAATACCTCCAGGTTTTGGTTTCTTTTTTTAACCTCATTAGCAGTGTTAATCCCCTTCCAGTTTATTTTATGAAAATCTACAGAGAGAATCACAAGAGTCTTACTTTATGAAATCTTCAACAAGCTCAGGAGTTTTAATACTCTTTCTAGTACAAGAAAGAGGACATACATAGAGGATACAAGTTGAAGACAAAATTTTGTTCTTTCTCCTTTTTCTACTCTATTCATCACTGTACAAAACATTTCTCCATAAGATTTACGACAACAGTTCTCTTCCTCCCTGAAGGACATAGAACAGTCAGTCCCATCTTATGAAAGGCTACATTACAAAAATTACCATATTACTCATTTATTGGGCTTTATGCATTTTACCAAAGACATTCCTTTCTAATTAGTAAGTTGCAAATCAACTCTCAAACTTCACATTAACTTAGATAAGCTAGACTATACCATTGTCATCTCTATTTATTTAAACAATAAACAATTTCCAATATGACATAGTTTATATAAGAAAAGCATTTACAAACCTAACCAAAGGTTTTCAGGTAATGTTCCTCTAATAGTGGGGTTCTGAGAATGGGCAGAGCTTAGGCACTATTGCCTAATTATGTTTATATGATGGTATTTTAAGAGAGAATCAAATATCTGGAGGAGAGTTTTTATTCATAATTCCATATAGTGTCACATAGTGACTAAAATGACATTTGGGATTCAAATGAACTTAGATATGTTGGTTTTCACTTTTGCATATTTAGAAGTTTACAAATTTATAGAAGTCTTTAAAATTATACTATTTGTTTTTCTTTTTTAATGCAAGGCAGTTCCAGAAGATAATTTCATGATAGGAAATATTATTTATTCCCTTTCATACCACCCTATTTCAATATGTTCTTTTCCTAACTTGTCCTTATCTACACCCTTTACTCCCTTTCAGGAGGGGACACATTACTCCCTACTCCTTAACTGTGAGCTGAAAACTGATTTTCCTACAATATGTAGAAGGATAAAAAATGAAGAGTAACTTTACAATGGAAAAACCTGGAAAACACTACTTCAGCAAACTGATGAAGAACAACAGTGATTAGTCATGTAATTAGTATACACCCTCAATGTGATAAGATGAAAATGGTACTTTAGCACTGTGGTCTTTTCCCCCAAAATATATCACCCCAGTTTAACTGTGAGAAAATATATAAATTCTAATTAAAGGACATTCTAAAAGATAGCTAATCAGTGCTATTTGAAAATGTTAGGATCATCAAAATCAAGGAAGTTCTGAGAAAGTAAATCTGTCACATCTAAGAGGGACCTACGAAGACATGATGATCAACTTCAGTGGGGTGCTCCAAATGGGATCCTGTAACACAAAAATGACTTTAGAGAATAACTGAGGAAGTCTCAATAATATTCCAAGTTTAATTAATAGCAGCATATTAATGTTCATTCATTCATTGTGACAATGTGTCATATTAATATAAGATAATGAATGTAGGGGAAACTAGATATAGGGTTCACAGGATCCCTCTATACCATCTTTGCAATAATTCTGTAAATGTAAATTTGTTGTAAAGGAAAATAATTTTTTCTAAAAGCTCAATTTCTATCCTTGAAACAAGAGAGGGAAAGTCAACTATCTACCATCTCTATTACCATATCCCCAGACCCTTGGCAGCCTCTGAAGGAAACTTTACAGATCCCATGGGTGCCTGGACTTAACACTCAATGAGACTAGATGATCAAAGTAACTATAAATAAGACCTAGAATGAAAAAAAAACTATCCACTTCTCTTTTTTTTTAAGGCCCATCCTTTAATTCATTTGCTATGATCTTTTCTTTACAGGATCAATTTTGTGCTAATACAGTTATTAGAATTGCAAAGCATTTGACATTTTCTTGTTTGCATCTAAAATGTGTTAAGGTATATGGCTTATAATTATGTAAATTCGGTAAAGGAAAAGCTTTGAGTTGTGAGTATTGCAGACTCCTATTTCTGAATTTCCTTGAATGTTCTTTAATAGCCTAGAAACAATAAAATATTAATAAAAATAAATCTGATTTAAACATGTGACAATATGGACTAACAACATTAGTACAGTTAAATGGCATATTGAATGTGTTAATTACTCATTCCAAAGTTAAAAGGAAATTTATTAAAAGCACACAATAAAAAATTTTATATTAGAAATAGTGTATACTAACTCACAGTACTAAATTTCAAAGTTTATCAAGTTAAATAATTTGATTTGAAGTGAAAATGTAGTAAACATTAACTAAATAGTCTGTGTCAAATTGTATAAAGTCATTAGGACATCCTTGAAATTGAGAAAATGCATGATTCTAATTACAGAGTAGAAAATCCTTTTGAACATCAAGTGGGCTTCAACCCTTTGCCTACAACAAGTAATGAGAGAATCTAATAAGAGACACCCCAATAAAGGTTGTTATCTAGTAGGTCATTATTTTTGATGAATTTGAAGATTTTTGATAATTGATTTTTGTCAGAAGTAATACAACAAGTTGAGTATTGCTGGAAAATAAAACTTCTTTCATCTTAAAACACAACAATAAAATACAATAATAAAAATTTAAAGAAGGATAGAATTGATGCAGCTTTAAATCATTTTACTAAGATGTAATCATATCTAGATAAAAACTAATTTTAAAAAAGAATGCTCATCTCTCTTATTAAATGAGACATTTATTGTTTTTCTCCTGTTTATTGCCTCAGTTTCGGTTTGATGGTATCAGTGGTACTGGTGTCAGGGCCATCTTATATTTTTTCTATATGGGCTTCCTCATTCCTGGCCCCTGCATCGACCTTTCAATATGAATTTCCAATTGTAAAATAGCTTTTTCATGTACTTTATATGAATAATGGTGAGAATCAAATCACTACAGTATTTGATCCATGGGGAACATTTACAGAATGTTATGAAGGTTTGTGTATGTATGTATGCATATACTATGTATGTTTCATTTGTGTGATTTAATATATGAAATAGATTGTGAATTAGCAAGAGAGGTTTACAAATAAATATTATTAAGATAACATGACTTTAAATGTGTCAATGTTCAAAACACAGAGCTAAGTAGTTACTGAGCTTGTGCTAATATAATAACTATAATGAAAGTAAAAACCTAAACTAGTCTTCTATGAGCATAGCTTTATTTGATGACAGTTGAATGGCTCCAGAGAAATAATGATGCACTAGAATGAAAAAAAGAAGTTTATAAAAACATGGATGGACCTGAAGTGGATTATGCTAAGTGGATAAAGTCAGAAAGAGAAAAACAAATATCCAATGGTGACATTTTATATGTGGACTATAGAGAAACAAAACAAAGGTTTAGATAAAGACAAATCAATAATAAACCTTGGAAATCTGATTGTAGAAGTGAGGCTACCAAAATGGGGATGGGCAGGAAGAGAACAAAGTGGGAGGAGCGCAATGGACTAGGGTGGAGGATTATGGGTGTTTTGGTGGTGGGTGTGGTGTGGTAACAATACCTAAAGAGGGAGATCCTATATCTGTAAACATTGTAAACCATTGTTACCTCAGTGAAAACACAAAAAAGAAGTCAGAAGTTACTAACTGTAAGATAAGCTATCCAAAGGACAAAGGCTAGGAGGTTTTAGAGAAAGGAGAATTTATTTTGTGAAAGGTGGTAAGAAAAACTTTCACTGAGGTAAAACTACAACTGGGCTTTTAATCTAAGGAAGTGGAAATATTAACTCTCTTCTGTGAGTCTGTGTGAATAAGCTGGACAGAAAAGGGAGTGATGGAAACAGAAGCACTTGTGCAGGAAGCACAAAGAACTGCCACGCACTGATGAAGAAAATTGATTACAAAAGTAGGAAGCAACTATGGCCACAAAATTTCAGAATATGGAAGAAATACAAACCAATTACCAAATTTTATAGATGAGAAAACAAAAATTTTATTTAATTGGTTTTGAACATTTAACATCTAACGCACACTCTTAAATTAAAATATTGTTTCCTTAGGAGTCTTTGTGGCTCTTTCTCTTTATTCAATAATGGCAAATGCTCACAATAGGCACATATGCTGGACAAACACTAGTCCTTACTCTGAACAACCTGCTGAAATTTTTTTTTAAGATTGATTTATTTATTTATACGAGAACCAGGGTACAGGCCAGATGTGTGGGAAGATGAGAGGATTCACCAGAGACAGAGCAGGGAACCGAACAGACAGACTGACAAAATGCACTGCTGAGGGGAGCAGTGGATGAGACAGGAGAGGTCTGCCGTGCCATGTGGGACCCTCGCCAGCCAGCGGAGATGGAACCAGCGCTGCAGAGGCTGCAGACAGCTTCACAGCACTGGGCTCAACCGCCTGGGCCACCAGGGGAGGCCCAACCTGCTGAAAATTTTTAAGCCATGCTTGGGCTTCTTGAAAATAGTCCTTGAATTGACCAGTGAGGTACCACATGTGAGAAAGTGATCATATCACTGTCAGATACTTACTATCACTATCTTTACATCATGTGCTTTGAATAGAGAAAAATAGAATGAGATAATACTAAGGGTTTTTATTTATGTATTTGAAAAATGTACCATTGATTGTGACAGCAAAATTTTATAACACAAATTATCTCAGTCATTTCAGTTATGGTTCAAGATGTTTATAATGTGGTAGAACTCTCCTCCAGAATAAGGAGAGTTCAAGACATTTTAACCAAACTTGAATTTGGGACCATGGGTTTAGCATGTAATTTGGCACATGCTGATATAATGGACAGGCAAATATTTCTACACCTAGAGATATAAATAATTACCTCTAAGGCAAAGTTGGAGTTGAGAAGACAAATGTTTCAAGGAAACATCTACCAAAGAACCTGAGCTGATAGGCATAATGTGGCACAGTATGTAGAGGGGATTTTGGGTCTGAAGAGCATGGTGGAGTTTCAGTCTAGAGCATTTTCTTTAGGCAATGTTTAGATTTTTACAGCAGCAATGACCTTATCTGGGGTGTTAAAGGTGCTATTAAAGGATTAAAATCTATTTAGACACAAGATGAAGTAACTGAAGTTCTCAAATAGTGACCATGGCAATAGATGATTCTCAGAAATTAGAAGAGACTGTTGAAACCAGGAAGAGTGTCCCCAAGAAAATGCTCCAGGCCTCTCAGTCCAGTCCTTCAGAGCAGAGCTCCAGTTCTCAGGAAAGAGCCCTAAGGAGCCCTAGGGAGACTGATGTCTTTGAAAGTTCAGAAATTCAATACTCAGATATTAGAAATTTGGATAATCTGGACTTAGTCATAGAAACATTTCCAAAATCTGAACCATATAACCTTTGTTATCCAAATAGAGGCACAGCAAGATGAGCTATGACTCAAGGAACAATTTGAAACAGAGACAGTGGAACAGTGGGTCAAATTTTCAGGAACAGGAAATTTCAGGAACTATAGTGTCAGTGTGCAAACAACATTTCGTGGAGTACTTTCATAGGGACAGGAAATTAATTCTAAGTCATATAGAGAGAGGTTAGCCCTCATATTAGGACCAATACGGAATCTCAGAACAGTAAAAAAAAAATGTGGGACCTGATTAATGATAATGAAAAATCAGTTTTAAAATAATCATTTGATTGCTCAAGTCAGAACCCATTTCAACAAACTACATTTCTTTCTTCATATTTGTGAGTGAAGCTCTTTAAATCTCTGTGCGAAACTGAAGTATAGTTCCAGCCATTTCCTTCTTATAAATAGTATCAAATTTCTCACTTTGGGCCACAGTGAAGTAATTCTTCCAATCACCTGTAGTCCCTAAAAATGACAAAAAAAAAAGCATGAAAATGTGAAATTATTCCTTTATGAAGAAAAAAAGATAATATATATCTAAAGAAAATGTTGGAAGATACAAAGGAGGGTTTTCTTTGTATTTGAATGTTTGAAAACATCATTTCTGTCTTATTAGCAATTCCTCCCACCTTGAAAGTTGGCTTATCACTAAACAGAGACTGACTTTCAAAATACTTTCTGAGAAGGGTAGATTTTCTTGTCTAATTTATGGAAGGTAAAATAGATTCCTGGAAAACATTCTTTTAGTGTTTCCAATAGTCCTAGGTAATGGGATTATCACTGCATTAATGAGCAGCGCATTTTTTATTTTGAGTTACTTTTGGAAACTGTCACAAAGACCAGGTCATCAGCACACCAAAAACATGAAATAGAAAACTGACAAGTATTGCTTTTCAAAATGTAGAAATGATAATGCTATGCTATTTAGAGGATGCTTACTTCCCTGAATTCACTAGATTTATGTTTATTTGCATTTTACATGAGGATAGCATTAAAATTAAACATATTATACCCCTGAATAATCTTTACAGAAGTAAAGTTTTCAGGATATAAATTTACACTAAATCCTTGTAAATATTTATTTGAAATGAATGAATTTTAAATTACTGCAATGTGCTTGAAGGAAAATATTTTTGCTAACTTATGATTGTTAAGTACATCCTATTGAATTGTAAGCTTTATTAATTCTATGATGGCTTGATGAAAATTTCAGAACATTTTAATGAAAAACATCCTCATAGATAAGGTTTTTTCCAGGTTTTTATTCTTTGCTCTGTGACTCTCAGATGGCAATAGCATAATGTATATGAGGGTAGTACATATTTGAGATAGCACTCACCAATGATGATGCTTTTAAAAAGTGAACATATATTTAAACTATAAAGATTACAATAAATTATTTCAATTATCTTTTATTTTGAGAGTAAATTATATAGATTTGTTTTACAAGAGAGAAGGAAGTATAATTTTTTTCTATAAAAAAATTCTGGTCAAAGTTTAAAATTTCCTGTTTTGCAGCAATTTAGGAAATTGATACAAACACTGGATATCATCTAAATATCATCGATCCTCTTCCACTCTTTACTATTGTTTGACTAAATTTTGGTATTAACTTATCTAACATAGCATCCTTCAAGACTGAGTGGGCCTGGTTCTTTGTTTCTACTTCACTCTCAGCCCTACCTAGCATCCATTTACATGCATACCTCTTCCATTACATTATGATCTTCTTGAGGAAGATGTGTCATTCAACCCTTAATATTCTTTAGAAAATGAGGTAGGTAAGTCTGTTTGTGAAAATTTTTTACATGTTAATTAATGAATGCATGGATAATTTCAAATGTATGTTGAATGGATAAATGAATAAATATATAGATGAATCTTTAATTAGTTATGCTAATAAGACTTACTACTTTTGCTTGTATTATTTATGGTCAGAAAAATATTCTGAATGTGTATATATTGTTTACTATAATCTTTCCCCAAAACTTTGCTGTAGATTTTATACTCTTTCAATTTTCTTAGTTATATAGTCATAGTTTTAACAGATTAATTAATGTATTCATAGTCACAGACTGAGATTGTGGTATAGCATTGATAAACCCTGCATTAATCAGATCACAAAGGATCTATTGTTTGCCACTTTAACAACTAATGTTAATAAGATCTCTAGTTAGATTTCCCTAATCTATATGTACTCTTTTCTGCAGAACTGGGGAAAAAAATCCAGATATTGAAGTAATCTTCTGTATGTTTTTAACCCCAATTATGTATCAAAAGTTGGTATCAATTTTCACATGACTAGAGATAAAATTCTCCTGGAAGTTACATCAATGATAGAGCAGAATGAAAATTTGTCTATAAAGGCTATTTTTTTTTTCTGATTCTTCCACCAGGAAAATATCTTGTGTGTGTGTGTATGTATGTGTGTGTGTGTCTTTGAGAGAGTCTTGTTCAAACTTATAATGCACTATTCATAATGGAAAATTTGAGTTGCCCTCTTAACTCTGGAAACTATTGTTAGGAAATTAAATGTATTTTTTGAAAGTAAAAGCATGACTTGAAAACACCAAGGCTACTTGTTAGCTTAAAAAGTTAAAGAAAAATGACTTAGAAAAAAAATACAACCACACAACTCTTTTCAAAATCAAGAGTTTTGATCCATGTGTTCATGTGCAAAACAAATTCTTTGGATTGTGCTTTTGTCCAAGAATACCAACTAGAATTCTACTTCTTTCTCTCCAGTTTAACAAAAATATTGAAAATAGAAGTTACTGGCTAACTCCTTGAATTGAATTAGCCAGTTTGTGCAATGTATCTGTTTTTATTATCAAAACACTTTTTATACAAATCATATACAATAAGCTAAAATACACAGGATTTGCTTCATTGGAAATAAAACTGAATTTCAACCGTGTCAAATTTCTGATTTGTCATCTCTCTAAGTTAAATTTAGTTTCTATGCTTTCTCTAATTCAGATAGTATTTTTATGGAGCAAAAACTTCCCACACAGTAAAAAAAAAAACTTTTCTCTTGAATCCTTCTTCATGAGTGTACACGCTTTCAAAATGATAGAAGATTGTATTACACCAAGCAATATTTATCACTAAGGAGAGAAAGGACACTGATGTTGACTTTAACAAAAATTTAAGATTTAGGACAACAAATTTGAAATGACTTACATAAGAATTGGTAAAGCCATTCTTATTTAGCATCCTAAAGAGGAAGAGGAATAGATATGAAATACTTAAGGTATTCTGATAACAGTTTTACAAATACTATTCCTTTTAATAATTTCTAATCTAATACAGCAACTTTTATGGTAGGTATTTTGAGTGTCCTTATTTCTCAATGAGGAAAGTAGCTAATATTTAAAAAAGTGACTTAGAAGAGATTAGAACACTGACTTTCAATTCAGAGTAAGTTATAAGAGAATTAAAAAGTGGAGTAGCTAAATCAAGAAAAAAGTGGACAGTAAGATGGTAAAGAATAGAACTGAACTTTTTAAGTGCTGAACCGAATATAGTATATACATAAGTTGACTTTCAAAACTTATACAATATAATAATGTGATGTTATTTCAATAAGTTAATAAATCAATACAGTTATCTACGGGAAGAAGAAAATAAAAAAAGAAACTGTTTTTAAGTTTAAACTCAATAAAATATTCACCTTTGCGCATAAAAGGGGACTTGCTGTGATCCATCACTGAACTCGGCAGATGGGTATAATTCACCCGAGGGTTGTCCTTCATTATTTCAAATGAGGTGTGATGAACGATCTTATCCAACACCTCATCATTCAGGTTCTTTTCTAGAAATCTAGCAATCTTCTTGATTTCCTGCTTTGGATTCTATCATTGGATAGAAACAAACCCAAAAAATAAAACAAATAAATCTTTAAAATAAATGAAAAGTTATATATTATTTACAACCTTTTTTCCTGAGTTGATTTTTTAGGTGATTCATAAGTTCTTTTTTTTTTTTTTAATAATTAATGTATTTTAAGTTACTGTTTAACAGTTTTGGGGTTTTTTGGGGGGGGGTTTAAAGATTTATTTTTATTTATTTATACAAGCACTGGGTACAGTCAGAAGTGCAGGAGGGTGAGAGAATTCACCAGAGCCAGAGTGGGGGGCAGAGAAGGCAGAAGGACCTAAGTACACTGCTGAGGGAAGCAGCAGGTGGCAGGAGAGGTCTGTGCACCATGTGGGACCCTCCTCCGGTGGCCGGGGAGCAGCCAGGGAGCAGCAGAGGCTGCGGGCAGCTTCGCAACCCAGCGCTCAAACGCTGCGCCACCAGGGAGGTCCTGATTCTTAAGTTGTGAATATTGAATCTGCATTTATTTGTATCTATTCACAATTCTTAAATTAATCATAGAAATGAAAAATATTAATTTGCATTTATCAAATGAAGAGTGGAAATATTCTTTATTCTAGTATTTTTTTACATTCAAATTACAATAGCATTGGGCCTGATATTAGTAGTATTTAAAGGGAAAACATATCAAGTTACTTGAAGCTTAATTTGTAGACAGATTTGAACAATGAAAGCTTTAAGGGACCTCAGTGCCATTTTATTCTTTCTGCTTTTAATATCTGTTCTTAATCAAAATTCTTTTTTTGATTTTATGAACCATAATTACATATAAATAATAAATTCATGAACAACTTCATGCTTCTTTGCCTTAAGCCATGAATAGTGATGTGACTTTGCTTGGACTTAAATTATTAAAAATAAACTCCAAGATGCAAACACATCATGACCTAATTATCTTTTTTTAAAGTTTGTTTATTTATTTATTTGTTTGTTTAGTTGTTTATTTATTTATTTATACAAGAACCAGTGTACAGGCCAGATGCGCGGGAGGGTGAGAGGATTCACCAGCGACAGAGCAGGGAACAGAACAGGCAGACTGACGATATACACTGCAGAGGGGAGCAGTGGGCACGACAGGAGAGGTCTGCTGCGCCATGTGGGACCCTTGCGGGCTGGCCGGGATTGACCTGGTGCTGCAGAGGCTGCGGACAGCTTCACAGTGCTGCTCTCAACTGCCTGCCCCACCAGGGGAGGCCATGACCTATCTTTAATGTAGAAGGGAAGCATCCACATTTAATAATGTGTCATATTACTTACATGTGTTTTGGCAAGGAGTTCACTTTAAAAGAGGTTCTAGCAATATTTTATGTATCAGGTTTCTGTGAGAGAAGTCTAAGATGGCTTCTTAAAGAATGTGAACGAGTAGAAGGAGTACAAGTTCAAAAATTATGAGAGTGCAGAAAAAGCCAAAAGAAAAGTTAATAGTAGTACAAGGGAGGGCCTCCCCGGTGGCGCAGCGGTTGCGCTCTGGGTTGCAGGGCCGCCGGGCGAGGGTCCCTCAGACCTCTCCTGCTCCCGCTGCTCCCCTCAGCAGTGTACTTCGTCAGTCTGCCTGTTCTGTTCTCCGCTCTGGCTCTGGTGGGTTCTCTCACCCTCACGCACTTCTGACTGTGCCCAGTGCTTGTATAAATAAATAAATAAATCTTTAATAAAAATAATTAAAAAAACAGTAGTACAAGGGAAAGAATAGGTGGACAAGCAGTAATTTCTGTCAAGGATTCAAAGCATTCGTAGGGTCACGTTATTTTATAGAACAGTAGCATTTAAAGCAAAGAGTGCTGGTGTTTAGTGAATCTTTCTCTACTGTATTTCTCTTTCACTTCATCGATTAAAAATGTATGCAGGCACTCATAAACCTGATGTAAGTTTTTAGACCTTACATCAGGTTTGAAATTTATTTTTTTTTAATGCATAGAAGAACTGGGATGTAGGTCAGAGGTTGGGAGGAATGGTGAGGGGATTCACCAGAGACAGAGTGGGGAGCAGAGCAGGTGAATCTACTGAAATACACTGCTGAAGGGAGCAGTGGGCAAGACAGGAGAGGTCTGTTGAGCCATGTGGGTTAGCTCCCTGGCCAGGGATCGAACTCAGGCCTCAGTGGCTGTTGATAGCATGATAGCACAGAGATTTTAATCTCTGAGCCATCAGGGAGACCCTGAATTTTATTCTTGATAAGTAATAATTTTTTCCTATTATTGTTATTGTTATATTAAACCACAGATAGAACATTCTCTAAAAAAGATTACATGACAGGGAAAAAACATTGTCTACTAAGTATGTTGCAGATAGCAGATTTGAGTGGCATTAAGAATATGTGACTATGCTTATAAAGTTGGGCCAGACTGTAAATCAACATGAATGAGTTTCTTTGAATAAGGCATTTAGGTGAATAAGGAGAGAAATGGTTTCTATAGTGTCATGTGGAGAACAGCGTAATGTCAGATTGAGACTATGGATGCAAGCCCAGTCCAAGAAAGGTATTTCTCCATCCTGTAGAAATGATTAAACAATATTGAGAACCTAACATTGCACTTATCATAAAGGTAGTAAGGATGTCTAGGAAACAAAGAGAGATGTGCAGTACAGAATGGGCAGATTTCTCTCTTATGAAGAGTCCACATTTTAATTCTGGTTAATCATCCAGTCCTAGGATATCACCCCTTAAAAAAATGGCTTCAAAAAGACACGTTAGCTTTGTAGCTGTGAATTGCAAGCAAACATATTAATTATCTCAAGTACTGGATCAAAGGGTAATAATAAGTTCAAGACAACAGATTTTCCATGGGCTGCACAAAGCTGTAATGGAAAGCAAAGGCCAAGACAGCAGAAAAACTCTTTTGATAAGCTATGAGCCATATTCTGGAAGTTTCTCAGAAATACCTGTAGTAAGAGGCATTTTCCATGGGACATAATTTCTGTTAAGCCAAATAGGACTGATGTCACTGAAATGTTTGTTATTACACCTTATTCATTCATTAAGTCAACTGTGCAACAAGAACCCCTATTTATGTGGTGGTGCTACATTAGTTAATGAGATTGCAGTTACAAAGATGATAGCTATTGTACCTTCTGTCACTAATCTGAAAGTCTAAAAAGAATCCTCTTTGCTTCCAGGCTTTTACAACTAGAGAAACTTGATTTCCATTACTTTTCAGGTATGTTCGTATGTTTGTTTGTGGGATGGATGTTGGTCAATTTACATAAAATAGATGCAGAACAGTGATCTGGAACTTTGTAATAGTATTTGAACTAATATTAATTCATATAGGAGATGAAATGAATGCTTACAATTCCCTAAGTTAAAAGAGAGGTATTAAGAAAGAAAAAGATGATGACTCATTTGAAAGAAATAACAGACAAGGCATATGAGCAAACAGGATGTTCAGTACAGATGAAAGGAAATCAATGAGGAAAGCTACTTTCAAACTTTCAAAAATGAGTTGGCAGCATCAGTGATTGAGTAAGAACAAATGATTACATATGACAGAAAAGCAAGATGAGTTTAGTTTTGACCATGCTAAATACAATAAAAACATGGGTTTGATTTCAGAGTCAGCGTCAAAATGAACTTTTCTGGGTATTTAGCATAAATGGTTTTGGTGACAGTGAACATGGGAGTGATTACTAAAAGTTAGCAAAGAATTTTTAAAAAATGACTGTGAAAGAGAGACACAGAAAAACCATGAAAATAATATCCCAGTAAGTGTAGGACAGAATTTCAAAAAGAAAAAGTGGTCAAAATATAACAAAACTGTTAAAGGATAAGATAAATAAAAAGAAGTCACTGATTTTACAGTCAGAAAACATTAGTGATCTTAGCAAGCAATGTTTGTGTATGCAGGAATGGAAGACAGCAAAACAATCATATTCTTTTGGATTTCACAGACTAATTCAAAAAATAAATAGTAATCCTTTTATGCCAATATGTAGACAGAAGAATTGTTCAGGATAAATTTCTACCATTTTACCTCTTTCATATCTTCATAGTATAAGAAAAGTATTGGGTGTTCTTCTTTTTTCTTCCACCAGCTCTTAACATGATCAAACCAAGGACCATATGCCACTAAAACCAGGAACACAGTTTATTTCTATAAGTATTCATCCAATTATTTTTTTTTTCTGAGCAATAAGTTAAACTGTACAAATATTTTGTGGAATTTAGTTACTAAGGACACTGACAACATAGGGCCATTTTTTTAAAGTCAGACATTTATTGATTTAGAACAATCAGATTGAAAACAAACCCCATATAAAGTACAAAGGAAGTATTGCAAATGAAAAAAACTTGACGTCCATAGATTACACCTAGCCTCAGAGAGAAGGACATTTTTCTTTTACAAAATACTGATATCGAGTATTTATCTAAGTACTTTAAATGTGTGTGTAAGAGATTTGACAAATGATCTGGGAAAGCTAAAAGTTTCTACTGTGAATAGAAACTGAGAATGTACTTTAAGCAACTGAAATGATATTCAAATTACTTTCGTTAAGTAGATGAAAAATATTAGGTTTGCATATTGAATAGCATAATAAAATAATACATATATTTGATTCAATTTTTTGAAATGGTGTTTGAATGTATTTTAATTTATTCAATTAAAAAATTATTAAATTTTAGCCACAGCTTACTTACCCTTTCCAGTCACAAATCTCTCCAGATATTCTCCCCAGGTGCCAGGAAGAGGTTCTAAGTTATTCATTAAATCAAAATGGTAATATGAGACTGCAACATCCTTGGCATTTCGAGCCAAATATATCATCTGTAAGGGAGGAAGAAAGAAATTAATTGAAAGGTAATTAATTTAGGGAATATAAGCTAGCAAGGTAATAGAACTCCTCTTTCTTTGCATTTTTTTAAAGATTTTATTTATTTATTTATACAAGAACTGGGGTACAGGCCAGATGTGTGGGAGGGTGAGAGCATTCACCAGAGACAGAGTGGGGAACAGAACAGGCAGACTGATGAAATACACTGCTGAGGAGTGCAGCAGGCAAGACAGGAGAGGTCTGCTGCGCCGTGTGGGGCCCTCGGCGGCCAGCTGGGATCAAACCCATGCTGCAGAGGCTGCGGACAGCCTCACAGCACTGCGCTCAACCGCCTGCACCACAAGGAGGCCCTTTCTTTGCATTCTTTGCAGCAACTGTTGAGGGTCTTTCTAACATGTACCGTTCTTAGCGGTGTGAGTTGACCTCATTATAGTTTCTACCTGCATCTCTCTCTTATTAAAAATTATGATGATTTTTTTTTCATGTATCTGTTGGTCTTCTGGAAATCCTCTTTAGTGAATTGTCTGCAGCTATGTGGCTGATTTATTAATTGGGCTGTTTATTTATTGTTAAATTGCATAATTTTTTATCATAGATATAAACACCTTGTCAGTTGCGTAATGTGTAAATATTTCTTTCTATTTAGCAGGTGTCTTATTAATCTACTTATATTTTCTTTAGTTGTGTAAGACTTTTTAAATCTGAGTATATTCCAGTTGCTGATTTTTACTTTTATTACCCTTGCCAATGTGAGCAACTCCCCAAAAACATCTTCGTCACTGATGTAATGAAATGCATTGCCAATAATTTCTACTACTTATTTTATTGCTGTAGTTCTTATTTCTAAATCTGTAATTTTAAATTTTTATTTTTTGCAGGAGTTAGAGAGTAAACCAACTTTATTCTTTTACATGTGGCCATCTGGTTTTCCCAGCATCATTTATTTATGAGACTTTCCTTTTTGTGTTGTATTGTCATAGTGCTTTTATCATTTATTTAATATTGATATAGATTTCAATTTATTTTTGGCCTCTTGATTTGGTTCCATTGACCCAGTTGTTTATTTTTATGTCAATACCATATTGTTTTAACTTTTATTTTATTGGATAGCTTAAAACTAGATAACATGATGTTTCTGTTTCATCCCCCTTTCCTCAGGATTTCTTTGCTATTTGAGGACTTTTATGGTTCTTTTATGCTTTATAATAATTTCTTATAAGAATATTGTTGGTAATTTGATGGTGACTGCATTAAATTTATATATTACCTTTGTTAGAATAGTCATTTTAATTGTATTGATTTAAATCTGGAAAGCTTGAGAATGTAGGTTTAGACTAGAATATCTACATTTCTTAATGAAACAATTTCTTATATTACTCACTTCTCAAGGTAACAAGTAAAACATTTGAACAATTGCTCACTATGTGAAAGAGTAAAGGAATAAGATAATACTTAAAAATGTCGTAGTCTAAAGTATACCTTGCAGTTGTTTTCCCAGAAAGACTTAGGAAGAAGATCAATTGGAAGATGTGTCTTCACCACCCGGGGTGATGGAGTCTTCTCTAATTGTTCTACACCTGGGAAAATGTAATTTGAAATACAGAGATATTAGTCTCCATGGAACACATTCTGTTTTTTTCTTTTTTAAAAAGAATTATGTCTGGCTCACTCATTTTAAGAAACCCTATATTTTGAATTTAAAGCAATCTTATGCTTCAAGTCAGTCCTGAACTTCAATTCTATAGCATTGACCCTCTGAATTCAGTCAGCCACACAATAGGAGTGATACTTTCTCAGTTGGTCCTTCTTGGCTTATGTGCTTCACTAACTCCAGTAGGAGAGAAAATTTGGTTACTACTCTTTCAGCTGACCTACATGTCCTCTTTCTTCTTTTTTTTTTTAATAATATATTTTATTTTTATATACCCCATACAATTGCAACCCCCCCATTCTGACCCTAATCCCTCCCCTCCCACCCCCCACCCCCCAAAAAGTGTCTCTGGTTCATAGTTTTTTGTTGATTTTGATTTTCACTTTCTTATAGTTATTCATTTTCCTGGTCCCTTATTTAAGTTTTCTAGATTCCTCCTCTTTCTTCTTATTCCAGATATTCAGCAGCATTTGAGAACCAAACCTTGCCTTATGAATCCTTCCACATGCCTAAAGAACATCATATACTTCTAATTCTCACTTAGCTCACTGAGTTTTTCTTTTCAGTTTCCTTTGCTAGCTCCTCTTTTTCTACCAAGCCTCTTCATGTTGGCATTTTTTATAGTTATATCCTGCTGTTCTCATTGCTCTACAAACTTCAAATAATATAATTGAATCTGAATATTTGAAATATCAAATGACCTCTCAAACAATATGTCTATATTAAATTGTTAGTAACCTGATCCCTAAATATATTACTTTACAGCTATTTTCCATATGCTCCATAGTCCCTTCAATGATCAAGATAAAACTTTGGGAGTCATTTTTCATTTTGTAATTTTCCTCATGTTATATAGACCATCAAAGAGCCAAAAATAGGGCCTCCCTGGTGGCGCAGGGGTTAAAGTCTCAGTACTATCAACCATTGCCAGCCACTGCGGCATGAGTTCAATCCCCAGCCAGGGAGCTGACCCACATGGTGCTGCAGACCTCTCCTTTCTCACCCACTGCTCCCCTCCCCTTCACTAAATCCACCTGCTCTGCTCCCCACTCTGTCTCTGGTGATTCTTCTCACACCCCCCATACACCTCTGGCCTACACCCCAGTTCTTGTATGTGTAAATAAATCTTTAAAAAAAAGCCAAAAATATATTTTCTCTAGTTTCCCAATCTCATCTTCATACAGCATCCAGTGAGGTCTTTATATTTAAAGAAACAACAATATAAATTCTATTTTTTGAATGCAATTCATATCTTTCTCATTGTGTTTAGAATAAAATAAAAGAATCTTAAGAATTAGAAACCCAAGATGATTTGTGCTTTTCTAATCTCCAATTGATTTGCAACCCACTTTTCCTTTCTTCCATTCAATTTCTCTTGCTGTCTTGTACCACACCAAGGTATACATAGATTTAGATGTCAATTATGAATAGATATCTCTAAACATTTATTCTAAAGTAAGTTCTCCAGGGCCTTCCCTGGTGGGGCGCAGGCGGTTGAGCGCCATACTGTGAAGCTGTCTGCAGCCTCTGCAGCAGGGGTTCGATACTGGTCGGCCGGCTAGGGTCCCACATGGAGCAGCAAACCTCGCCTGTCTCACTCACTGCTCCCCTCAGCAGTATATTTCATCAGTCTGCCTGTTCTGTTCCCCACTCTGTCTCTGGTGAATCCTCTCATCCTCCCACACATCTGACCTGTACCCCTGTTCTTGTATAAAAATAAATAAATCTTTAATAAATAAATAAATAAAGTAAGTAAGCTCTCCTTTTTTTCATAGAATCTTATTATTTGGACATGGGAGACTAATGGTATTCACATATTATTAATTTACTTATTAAATGTAACTATTACCATAAACTCCTTGGGGAGGTTACTAGTCTACTAATATTTTTTGCTAGACATAGCACAGTGCATAAATTCTTCTGAAGCACCCAATAAATATTTGTGGAATGAAAAAAATGAACTGAATTAATAATAAATTTTATGTAGTAGGAGATAATTATTTAATTACAACAATGTCCTAACTAGAAGTTCATTGTTTTAATCTGCCAAATTCTAAAGGTCACAAAAAGTAAGGATTTTTTTATGTTACCAACTGCATTTTTAGTTGTTCTCATCAATAAAATTCTTTCCTCTTTGGTTATTATAACTTCATATGTAATGATCTAAACTAGTCTCTTTATACCTTGGTAATTGTCCTACACAAAAACTTCCATTTATGTTACCAAATCTCCATTTTCTGTGTATGGAAATCACAAGTGCAATAATTAATATGCTATATAAATTACATTACAAAATTATAATTCCCAGGTGGTTTAAGATTACCTGAAGTTCTTATTCCAGGGACAGCCATTTCCAACATTGGGACTTTAACATTAATAAAATCTCGCTTACATTTTTCAACATCTCCATTATTTAGAACCATGTCCACAATTTCACTAACCCAAGTGGTACCTGTGGTAGAATGAAACATTTTTATATAATCGTCACCCACATCTGGGAGCAACAAAGTACTTATCGGAAGCCTGCCATTTTTCTTACTCTATTAGAAAACTAGTTCTGAAGAGATTCTCTTTCTATGCCCCAAGTGCCCAATTTTAATATATACAAAGTAGATAATTAGACTGACTGCTAGGAATATGAATTTAGGATAATGCTGATTTTAAAAAGAAGCTGATTTTTCAGAAAACAAAGGTTGAAATCAGACATGCTGTTAGGCCACAACACTCACCTGATTTGGGATAAGTGGCTATTACAATATCATCTGGCTTGCTATGGAATTCCTCAATCCTTTCCCAGTTGTTTGCAAAAGAATAGATCATAGGATAGCCATGAACCATCTTCAGATCTTTTCTCTGGAAGTCTTCAAGGGAAGTCATTTTTGTACTAGACTGCACAAATTCTTGGTACAATACTGACAGATCATGAGGGAAAAAAGGTATAATAATCAGAAGCTGAGTAACTAAGGTTAATCTTAAGACATTATAACAAGAAAAAAATTAAAATTGACCTTTAACACACTAAGCACACAGAGATCTAAATACAAAGGGCGTTTTTGTGTGTATAAAGTTATAATTTGCAAGAGCAGCTACTGGCTTAGTGACAAGAGGAACAAAGGTCTTTAGTTGAAACTGAAAAGAAATGGAATCGCTTATATCACATTGAATTGAAAATCACATTTCTTGAAAGTATGCTAAAAGATATCTGGACTTATGGCAAAATAAATAAACCAATTATCATTATTCTTCAGTTGTATTTCATTATTCCTTGCAAGAGACTTATTCTTTCTCACATTTGTTTTTCTGTTCATAATGCATTTGTTTCTATGATAGTTTTTGCTCTGTACCTGGTTTTGACTAATTGAATTAATATATGCCTGGAATGATTATCGGGGTGTGTGTGTGTGTGTGTGTGTGCCCGCGCACAGGCCATTGAGATTCTTGGAAATGTGGGTTTACAGTCATTATTTCTCCAACTATTTGCTATGTCTTTCCTCTCTTATGTCTGAGACTCTCCAGACCATATGAAGTTGTCTATAGCTCACAGAATTTTTTTCTTGCTTTGCATTTCATTTTGCATAATATGTACAGCTGTACTCCAAGTTTACTAACCTTTACTTATGCAGTGTGTAATCTGATGCTAATCCCAACCTAAGTATTTTATCTCAGACATTGTAGTTGTCATGTCTAGAAGATAATTTTAATAATGATTGTATTTTTTCTGTCTCAACTTTTCAGGCATATTGAATACAGTTGAGGTAACTATTTTAATATCATATTTGTTAATTCTGGTATCTTTATTCTAGATTGTTTTAAATTGAATATTTTTTTCTTTTCAATATGATTACCTTTTGCCTGCTTTCATGCCTGGTATTTTTTTACTGAATATCTGGTATTGTGCTCGAATTTACCCTCCATCAGAAAATTATTTTGAGGCACTAAGCTGTGGAAACCATTGGGTTCATTTGATGTGTTTGCTATTTACTAGCATTTGTTTTGTTTGTTTCATACAAGAGGGTAAATCTGGTGCCTGTTACTTTATCTTGTTTAAAAGCTAATGATAGTTAATTTTATGTGTCACCTTGACTAGGTCACTAGTCAAGGCTTTCACATATTTGGCAAAATGTTATTCTCTATACTTCTGTGAGGGTGCTTTGGGATCAGATTGTACTTAAATTAGTATGTTCAATAAAGTTTATTGACTTCTGCAATGTAGGTGGGCCTTATTCAATCAATCGATGGCCTGACTAGAACAACAAGGTTAAAGCTTCCCCCAAGTAAGAGAGAATGTGTCCTGCCCAATATCTTTAATATGTAATATCACTTTTCTTCTCTGTTCAGACTGGGATTAAAATATCAACTTTTCATGGGCCTAACCCCTGATAACCTTTGAACTGAAATATCACATCAGATCACCTTACTGTTAGGTCTTTAAACTCATAATGGAACTAAATAATCAGTTAATCTAGATCACCAACCTACCAGTTCATCCTGCAGATCTTGGAACTTGCCTTTCTCTGAAATTACATGCACTAATTATGTATAATTAATCTCTTTATGTGTATGTATATATGTGTATATAAATGCACACATGTATATATAATATAAATATTGCTTTGAATACTCTTTGGTTAGTAACTATTATTACCATAATAATATTAACTCTGAATTAGCATCTCATTAACTTGCTAAGCTTTTGAAAATATTAATGTACAGAATTTCTGAAAATATTTTGGATCCTATGAGACTAGTAGTCAGGGTTCTTCAGAAACAGAACCAATAGGAGATTATATATAGAAATAATAATAATAATATAGTTTATGTATATTTATTTCTATATATATATGAAGATATACATCTATGTATATAAAGAGAGGGAATCTATGATAAGAAATTGACTCACACAGTTATGAGGAGGCTTATTCACATAGGGGAGGAGGGAGGAGAAAACAAAACTAATATTTGACTAAATATCTGGACTCCCTATGACCCTAACAAGTTGACATAAAATTAACCATCACAGAAATTCATCATTTACTTGTTTCCGCTTCATTTTTACTGAACTTTATAAGTAATTTTCTTGTCTTGCTCTTACTAGTATTTTTCATTCTACGGCCCTCCCAAGTCCATGCCCTCAAACAGAATGTAAACATTTTAGAAATATAAGTGTAGCAGTCATAGGATCCTTCATAATTTATTGCTTCACTTATTTCTGAGTACCTGTCAATCAATAATCATAATGTATACAATGTATACTAATGTAACGATAGCTTGAATTAATAATCTGAGATGAAAATCATAGATAAGTTTATATTACCTCTACTAAAATACGTAAAACTAGACTTCAAAGATTGCCACTTCTAGATAGACAAATATAATTTCTGTCAGACAAATAGCTGTTATTTGTAAGTAATTTGATCATCCAGTTCCTGAAGGATGCTTTAAACAGTGAATTCACGTAAGTTTTCCATAGTCACTTGTATGATGGGAGCCACAGATAAAACAGTCATTTAAAAGCTAGCTGTGGCTTAAACAGGTGTGCCTAAAATTGATTTGAATAGAAAGCATTCTTTTGATTGGGAAAAACATGTTGTAACAATTTGGTGTTATAGAGGTAACGCCTCCAACCCACCCTTACACTCCAAAAAAATTCTAGAGGAGAGAAATCGGAACAAAAATTTCTTCATTTCACACTGTAAGATATGCATTATATGTCACATTTTTATACATTATTATTAATGGGTGTACACACAAAAACAAAGCTTTTTATTTCCCCATTTAAATCTGTTATTAAATAAGGGTTCTGGGCCTATCCTGATGGCGCAGGCAGTTGAGCGCAGCGCTGTGAAGCTGGCCGCAGCCTCTGCAGCACCGGTTCAATCTCCGCCAGCAGGCGAGGGTCCCACATGGCTCAGCAGACCTCTCCTGTCTTGCCCACTGCTCCCCTCAGCAGTGTATTTCGTCCATCTGCCTGTTCTGTTCCCCGCTTTGTCTCTGGTGAATCCTCTCACCCTCCCGCACATCTGGCCTGTACCCCGGTTCTTGCATAAATAAATAAATAAATAAATAAATAAATAAATAAATAAATAAAACTAAGAAAAAAAATAAATATTTCATATTAAGTTGTTACCTTCTATACACTTTTTAAAAAAGATTTATTTATTTATTTATGCAAGAATCGGGGTACAGGCCAGATGCGTGGGAGGGTGAGACGATTCATCAGAGACAGAGCAGGGAACAGAACAGGCAGACGGACCAAAGACACTGCTGAGGGGAGCAGAGGGCATGAGGGGAGCAGAGGGCATGACAGAAGAGGTCTGCTTCACTATGTGAGACCCTCCACTGCCGGGATCGAACCCATACTGAAGAGGCTGCAGACAGCTTCACAGTGCAGTGCTCAACTGCTTGCGCCACTTTTCAATTATCCTCTATTTTTAGTAAAATATCTGGTTAGATTAATAGTTCTTTGTTAGTGTAGAAGGAGGATCTTATGAAAAAATAATTCTCTTTTAAAGCATGAAATACTATGGAACATGTCAGAAGTCTCAAAAAGGGAAAGATAACTTGGTTGGTCAAGAAGTTAGCAGAAAGAGAGTAGAAAAATTGAGTCTAAGTACAACATTTGGAGTGAAGTAGATACTGAAATACTGAATAAATCGATGAAAAAACTTGAACTTTCCATTCAGAATCTTCTAGAACTTGAGGATAGTCTTAATTTCCCTGCTTGGTTATAAAGGAATGAGTGACAGTAGAAGTCAATATAGGATAATCATATATTAGATTTGAATTTTAATAACAAATGAAAGAATTTTCCTTAAATAATTTATTCTATTAATTTCGTAGAAAATATTTCTTCCTATGTTATGTAAAACATATGTAAATCCCAAACTTTATTTGAATGCTATTTAGTAGATTTACAGCTCCATTTACCAACTCTTTTTATGCATGCAGGTTATTATGGGAAAGCAACTAAATATTGAGAACACAGATTCCTTTTCATAATATCTGCTATAAAGCCTATGAACAAAATTGTTCCCAAAATAGTAGGTGGTTAACGTATGTTATATATTAATAACATTATTCCTGACTAAATTGTATGTTTTATGCCATCTTTTTCATTTCTTCATTTATCTATTTAATTGCACTATTTTATATTTTATTAATTTATTCATAATCTCCTTTCAAATATAGTCATTTACAAGCACCAGATACTATTGGCATCAACTGAGGGCTTGCTAGATATGCAGCCCTAATCCAGTATCAGAATCTATAATTTAACAACAACTATCCAAAGTAGTTTTTATGCAAAAGAAAAACTGAAAACCAAGACTTTAACCACTTTTAATCTTCTTTCTAACTATATAGGGTATATAAAAATGGTTTAGCAAGCCAATCAAGTGTCTTCAAGGAAATAAATTACATTGATTTACTTAATATATACTGTCATTACCCACCTGAAGATTTTATTTTGTAGATGAGATTAGGAAAGAAAATTTGAGATTCTTTTCAAAGACACAAACAAGTGAGTGGCAAACTAGAAATGGACTTCAGTTTTCCCAGCTCTGTTCACTTGGTCACACTGCAAATCTGCCTTGGGTGGGCCCAATCTAGAGTGAAATAACATCAGTGATTTATCTCATTAAAATCAGAGTGTTCACAGTTTGTAAGAAGAATTTTCTTTCACAAAACAAACTTTCCCCTGACAGAAAGCTCACATGCCACGAAAGTGTTGTTAGAAAAGGATGAACATGAGTAACAAAATGAAAATAAGGCAACCGATTCTAAATACATGCTAGTCACATCAGGAACGAGGGTGCAACCAATTCAGGAAACTGAAGTAGAATTGCCTCACTGTGACCAGGGGATGATGATGAGTTCACAACTTTAAACGGGTAGCTGGTTGTAGGGAAGAAGGTGGCATAAGATAATTGGCATTATGCCAGGTACCTGGACAATAGTTTCTTCATGATATTTACTTTAAAAAATAAACCTAAAAATCCTTTAAATCCTACCAGAAAATGACAATTTTAGGTGATTATGTTAAGTCTGCATGATACCACAAGTTCTCTTATTAAAATGAGCCATAGTTGAATATTAAAAAGATTAAAATTGACTTTAAAGAAGCTTAATGGAATAAAAGAAAAAAAAAATAAAACAATGTCCTTCTGAGGAGAAACTAACCAGGACATCTGACATAAACACTGAGATTCTTTTAATGAGAAAAAAAATTTCTTCCTTTTGTTCCGCCCTAACAAAATCAGCTTCATGTGGTCCACAATGAACTCAGCTACTGAAATAAATGCAGTGGACAATGTAGTCATATTCTGGAAAGTGCTTTTAAAATATTGTGTGTGAGAGTGAAGGAAAGATGGGAACAAAGAAGTCAGACTTCAAGTGCATTCCTTTTTCCTTTATGAAGCTCAGATTTTTGCCAGAAGACCCCAATCCTGGCAGGCTTTAGATGAATTCCACTGAACTCAGAAAAATGGGAACAGAGAAGTCAGACTTCAAGTGCATTCCTTTTTCCTTTATGAAGCTCAGATTTTTGCTGAAGACCCTAATCCTGGCAGGCTTTAGATGAATTGCACTGAACCCAGAAAAATGAAAGTAATCATTGACAATCTGCACAGGATAAACAATACTGAACTTCCTCCTGTGGGGAAATTGGATTTCGGCAAAAACATTAAAATTACAAGCATGTGTTCAAAACGGAAATCATTAGTGGACACAATGCTCTGGGGATATAAAACTAGAACGTCAGGAAAAGATACTTAGAAAAGCAAAGTTTACCTATAATTAAACGGCCTTTTCAGTTTTCATATTCAGTCAGTGGTGCTGCTGCCGTAAGGGAACGTTGGCAGCGATGGTAGTTCCCAGAGGCTGGCACAAGAGAAGTCCTGTAAGTTTCACTCTGTGTCCAGAAAAAAATAAATTCAAGGATTTGATGTGAGTGTGGCAATCATTGACTTTACAGGCAGTTATGAGATCAAAAAACGTTTTAACTACACATACATACACACACATTCAGTCCCTGCTGTTTTAACAGCTATCAGAGTCATCAAGCACTAGAAGGAAATGGATCAGGGTGGTGGCCAGTAGTAAACAAAGTCGCAGACTGCCCAGATTTAAAAGTTCCCACAAGGCTCTGAAGGCTCCAGAGAAATGAACAGGGAAGGAAGCAGGAGTCAGTGACTGGAAGCTTGTCTTCTCTACAATCTTTAAGAATGTCTTCTAATAATTTTTCTCGTGATAGGAAGTCAGTGTGTGTGTGTGTGTGTGTGTGTGTGTGCATTCATCTGGAAGAAACACGCTTTTCTAATATCATGGCAAGAGCAAACATACAAACATACAAGCATACATAAGATGAGCTAGCAACTTTGGCACAGAAACAAAAACAGAAGTGATGGTTTCAGAATGTACTTGCTTTGTCATTCTCATTATTTCTGCAACCTCGCAATTCTCTCTCTCTCTCTCTCTCTCTCTCTCTCTCTCTCTCTCTCTCTCTCTCTCTTATGTTAAGTCACATACACACAGAGAGAGTAGAAACATGAACGTGGAGAAGAAATTTTGTCCCCCAAAAAGGCTCCTGTCCTCCAACCCCACTAATTCCATCCCCATATAAGTCTCTTTTATGTTTTCCTTTTGTTTTTTGATGGTTCACTGTTGCAGGTGGGAGAATTGCATTGACTCCTCCTTTTTGGGACATGTCATTTTATTTTATGAAGGTTGGCATGAACCATCACCTCAGCCACCATAAAAGACTCTCTTTTGTTCTAACGGCCAGACTCAATCCTTTGTTAAAGGCACTTGTCATAAATTTGCTGCAGCTACAATAAGCAAACCATTGCCCTGGCGATTATAGCTGTTTTGGCCTGAGCAGTCAAAGAGCTCAGACAAAACGGTACATTCTTTTAGAACCTCCATTTTACTTATATATTCTTAAGCAATTTTTAAAAAACATGTTTGTGTCTTTAAAAGATTTAGCTAACAAAAGCACTCCATGACATACCTCTCCGAAACATCTTTGGATACTCATTCCCAGAAGCAAAGAAAATGAAGGAAAATAATAATAATAAAATAATAAAAATAATAATAATCAGCTGGACTACATCAAACAAAAAAGTTTCTGCACAGCAAGAGACATAGTAACCAAAATGAAGAGACATCCCATGGAATGGGAGAAAATATTTGTGCACCATACAACTAAGGGAATAATATCAGAGATCTACAAAGAGCTTAACAACTCAACAAAAACAAAGCATATGACTCAGTCAAAAAAAATGGGCAGCAGAGCTAATTTGAAGGGAGGCCTACACTCTTATGTTGATCGAAGCACCATTTACATAAGCTTAGATATGGAAACAACCTCAATGTCCCAAAACAGATGACTGAAACAAGATGTGGTACATGCACACAATGGAATACTACTCAGGGATCATAAAAGATAAACTTATGCCATTTGCAACCACATAGATGGTACTGGAAGGGATTTTGCTAAGTGAAATAAGTCAGAAAAGGAAAATATTGGATGGTCTCACTTATAGGGGGAATATGGGGTAACTGAATAAAGGATCTGGAAAAAGACAAAACTTGCAGGCAAACCATAGATCTGAGGTATACATCAGGGAAGAGGGATAGAGAGGGGTCAAAACAGAGGAGGGAGGAGCAAAGGTACTATGGTTATGGTCACAGGTGCTGCAGTGGTGGGAGAATAATGGGAAATACACATGACTGGAGGCATCAAATATTGTACAAAATAATGAAAAAAACATGGAAGACAATAAATAAATAAAATAAAAGATTTAGCCAAGAGATTCCTAATTTTATTTGTTGGCCAGAGTCATTTTAGTTTTGGTTTGCATGAGGGGTAGAATAATCTGTGAGAATACTAAGAGAAATGTAGACGTTTATGAGAGAATATAGAGACAAAATGTTTACATGCACCTGGTATAGTTGTATTTTATTGTCGTTGTGGGAAACTTCTCAGTGCATTAGGCACACAATTCTGAAAAGTACTGCTCTCCAGCATATTAATGCCAATCTGTATTTCTTTTATCGAGAACCTAGAACATCTGATTTTTCTGAGATGAACTCTAAAATGCTTTGTTCATTTTTGTATGATTTTGTGACAGAAAAGTAAGGCTATTTTATTTTTCATTTTGATGACACATAAAAACACAGGCTCCCAAATCACTTTCTATTACTGCCAACCTTCATAAATAAAATCAAATGATAAGAACCAAAAATACAAGATCAATACAGTTCTCCTACCTGTAACAGTGAACCATCAAAAAACAAAAGTTTAATAAATTGTATTTTCAATTACATATACAGATCTATCTTTGGAAATAAACTTTGCAGTTTTATTTTATTTATTTATTTATTTATTTTTAATTTAAAGATTTATTTATTTGTTTGTTTGCTTGTTTATTTATTTATACAATATCTGGGGTACAGGCCAGAGGTACCAGAGGATGAGAAGATTCACCAGAGACAGAGCAGAGAGCAGAACAGGCAGACAGACCGAAGCCACTGCTGAGGGGAGCAGCGGGCAAGTCAGGAGAGGTCTGCTGGGCCATGTGGGATCTCCCTGGCCACGTGATCGAACCCATGCTGCAGAGGCTGCAGACAGCTTCACAGCGCTGCACTCAACTACCTGTGCCACAGGGGAGACCGGCAGTGTTATTTTAAAACCAACTGAATGGGCAAGATAATAAAAGATCATCTAGATATCCTGCACAGGCAAACTTGGAGACCTTTGGAATTATACTTCAGCTTTTGTTAAGTTTATCAGGGAAGTAGGTATTAGAAGAATCAGGGAAGCCACCATTAATGAAGTTATGGAAAACTACAGTAGGCACACTGAAAGTAGAGGCAAGGTCTAAAGGTCAAGAAGGAGGACGATAGAACAAGGTCCCTGGACTATAAAAGTCAAACTCCATAATTTATCAACGTGGTGAATTGGAGTTGAACTCTAACCTATCCATGTATCCATTGCTCCATTAGGATGAATAATAGCATCTTCTTTATACATTTTTTTTAATATGGGAAATTGTGCATAACTTTGCCATCTTAGCTATTTTTAAGTGCAAAATTCAGTAATTTTAAGTATATTCACACTGTAGTGCAACCAGTCTCTAGAAATGTTTCATTTTGCAAAACTGAAACTGCATAACCCTTACAAAACAATTCTCCAATTCCATTTGAAATCACTACTCTTGGTAGTTCATATAAGTGCAATCATACAATATTTGCCTTTTTGTGACTACCTTATTTCATTTAACATAGTGTTCTCAAGGTCCATTTATATCAGTACACATGCCAAAATTCCTTGTTAAGACTGAATAAACTCCCTTTGTGTGTATATATAAACTTGTTTCTCAGGTTATCCTTGGACAGTTTGCATTTATCTTTTGGTATTGTGGATAATGTTGCTATGAATATGATAAGAAAATTTGTATTTGAGACTCTTCTTTCACTTTTTTATATAAATACCACAACGTAAATTACTAGATCACATGGTAATTATATTTCTAAGTTTTTGAGGACCCACCAAACTGTTTTCAATATTTTATGTTTCCATCAACAATGCAGTAAGGTTTTACTTTCTCTATATAGTTGGTGTGATTATTAAATGAGTTAACACAAATGATATACTTAGGTTACATTCCAGCCATTATACATTTTCAAAGCATTTGATTAGTCTTAATTTTCTTATTAAATATATAGTTCTTGGGGCCTCCCTGGTGGTGCAGGCAGTTGAGCGCCGCACACAGTTGAGCGCCGCACTATGAAGCTGTCCTCTGCCTCTGCAACATGGGTTCGATCCTGGCTGGCAGGGGAGAATCCCACATGGCGAAGCAGACCTCTCCTGTCTCGCTCGCTGCTCCCCTCAGCAGTGTGTTTCGTCAGTCTGCTTGTTCTGCTCCCCGCTCTGTCTCTGGTGAATATTCTCACCCTCCTGCACATTTGGCCTATACCCTGGTTCTTGTATAAAAACAAATAAAATCTTTAAAAAAAATTAAAAAAAATATAGTTCTCAAATTATAAAGAAACAAATGAGCTGAAACCTTGACAACTGTTTTGAGAAATCCTAAGTAATATATAGATGTTATTATTATAAATAATACTATAAATACATCTGTTATATAGCATACTCATACTATAAGTACTATGTAATACCATAAATATATTATATAGCATACTCATACTACAAATACTATGTAATACTATAAATAATACTATGACTAATATTTAATACAGGTATTAATAATATAGGCACTATCATAATACATAGATATGATCATTCTAGCAGTAACATACAAAATTCAATTATGCAAACCTTAAAGGAGAAATCACTTGTATTTTTTTCACTTTAGTCATGGATCAATATCGGAAAAAAGAAAATTCTAACAAAAATATTTTAAAATTTTGCTTGAAATCAAAAATGTTTTGATTTCAAATTTTTTTTTCGAGATTTATTTGTTTATAGAAGAACTGGGGTACAGGCCAGAGACATGGGAGGGTAAGAGGATTCACCAGAGGCAGAGTGGGGAGTAGAACAGGCAGAGGCCTGGAAACACTGCTGAGGGGAGCAGCAGGCGAGATAGGCAGGTCAGCTGAGCCATGTGGGAATCTCCCTGGCCAGCCAGGAATCGAACCCACGCTGTAGAGGCTGCGGACAGTTTCACAGCGCTGTGCTCAACCTGCTGCACCACTGGGGAGGCCCTGATTTCAAAATATTAAAGTTGAAATGAACTTTAAAATTATCTTATAAAATGAGTTCATGCATCATGGGATCCATAGGGAGAAAAATAATGAGGCTCAGTACAGTGGCATAGCATCAGAGCTGCAAAGGTGGGTCAACTTGTTCAATTTGTTGTATGAAATATATGACAGGAAAAAATACTGAAGAAAATTTTCATTCAATACTTTGAATATTTGTTCTATTTCTTTGAGGAATGTCATTGAGATTTTTATTTGATTTGCATTGAATCTGTAAATTGCTTTTGGTAGGATGGCCTAAATTCTGTTTTTTATGAGAAAAATACTGATCACACTGTACTATGCAGATGTGAATTTGAGTATTCAAAAGTTTCCTTATTTGAATTGAATTGTCAGTTTCTTTGTGAAGAAAAATAA